TAAGGTAAACTAAAGCAAACTTTACTGTTGTTTTTATCACTGAATCCCTGCATCTCAGCAAACATCTCCTTGCTTTGAAGCTGGAAATGTTGACCTTAGCCAGGTGTTACTCATTGTGTTTAGATTCTTAAAGACACTTCATAACAATATAATCACTGCATTATATTATGGACACAATTTTCCAGATTATCTGTCAGATTATATTCTTCTTGTTTGAAAAGATGATAATGATAATAATAATTGAATAATTGCTTCCACTTATATAGGGCTGTACAGATAATGGGGACTCCCCTCCACCACCACCAATGTACAGCATCCACCTGGATGTCAATACAATTATGTCAATACAATTCTTTCCTCACTGGCAGTTTTACCACCAAGGTGAAGAAACAGACATGAAAACTATCAATTTTTGCTTCTGGTTTCAGAAGTACTGTACATGATGGGAGGCATACCTAATGAATCCTTTGTGAACCACTGCTAAGGATTTTCATCTGTATTTGGTTTAGCAGTCACAATTTTTTTTTTTTTAAAAGTTAACTTTATACTCCGTTCATGAGGAATAACAGCAACAAAGAATTAAAAGTATTAGCAAAATATTGAAAAATATTTTTTAAGTGTTTATCCATTGTATTATTCATTTGGCTTACCCTGCTTGGCTGTGGGCCAGCCCCCTGACTGTAGGATGACAAAGTCAGGACCCTTCTGCAGAATGAGGAGTGACCAATGGGGAGCTGCACTGGTGGAGATAGGATTGAGGGGGGGTGCAAAACAGAATGAGAAGGAGAGAAGGGGCTTATTTCTATAAATAAATATGAAGTATTTATCGTTTTTTTAATTTAGGAAATGATAACCTCAATATTTACAATTTAAGGCCGCTTAGGAGAATTAGACTATGCTCCTGTCATTGTTCCTGAATGTTTGTGATTAAAAAGTTTTTGAGCCAAGTATTTTAGAATAATGAACTGTCCATTTTATAAACCACATCAACTATCTCCTGACCTTTTATTTGGCACTATACTATAGACTGTACAGACATCAAGGTGGGATACTGTATGTTAACACTTTTTCTGTCTGCTTGGTTCAACCACAGCACAGACACCGGTATAGCAGACGCCACATCAGCACCAACAAAGATGAGAACGAAGTCCAAGAAATCTTCCAGCGCACCATGAGGCAGCGTCTTGAGTCCTTTAAGTCTGCCAAGATGGGGGTCGGCCAAAGCAAGAAAATTCAAAAACATCAAAGGAAGGATCACATGCAGAAGGTGAGATTCAGCCATCCCCTAATGCAGTGGTTTTAAGATTTTTTCAGCTGAGTACCTCCTTTGAAATTAGGACCAAATTTGTATTACAGATGCACTAGTAAACATGGAATAACGTTCTACTACTACTAATAATAATCTTAACTACTGATTCGATGGGTTGCCCTGCATTTCAGACTTAAGGTTAACAAAGTAAAGTTAATGAAAGACAGTTTAACCCTTAAATCTCTCTCTGTATCCAGCTTTTGTTGATACGTTGTCTCAACTGCTGTGAGTGCAAAGAAACCAGCCTCACAGAGGAACGCTGTGGCAAAGGGCAAGAATGCTCTCAAGGCTACTGTAGGTTCTATAGGTCTGGGTATTCTTCCATTACTTGTACCCAGAAATTCAGGAGTGGTCTCCTTTTAACTGTAACTGCAGTCCCCCACCAGACATCAACTCCAGCAGTTTTTCTTGTATCTTGAAATTACTAAACTTCAGAACTCACTTCAAAAAGCCTAGTCAAAACTTTGCAGAGTGACAGCTAGCAAACTTCTGTGAGCAGGAGAAGTGACCCAATTCAATGCTCAGTGTTGTAAAAATGCCTGAATTCGTTGGGCAACCTTTAATGAAGTTAACTATTTTCACAGATTTATTCAGTACTGACAGGAGTTCTCCTGGCACATTTTAAGAGGCAAGGGCCTCATGATGAATGCTATAGTGTACCCACGAAAACAGTGGGGCAAACTTCCTGATGTGAGCCCCAAAATCTTTGTTTCCCTGTCATTGACATAACCCTGTCAGTACAAATTCCCCACACAGTGTTTACTGAAAATATCAATTAAATTCAAAATATCTTCTCCTATTGTACGGTGGGGGGGGGTGTGTGCCAAATATGTAATTTGTATGTCAAATATGTAATGAACGTAAACCAAAAAATATAAATTGATAAATTATCAAAATCATTTCACGATTATCACCAAAACCCAATGTACTCAAGGAAACTAACAAAGGTTATTGTCCCATCCCCTTTTCCTCTTTTTTTGTTAAGTATCTCTCCCTTTGTTTGTTTTTCCTTGTGAGGAACATCCATTGTGACAAAACAGGAGTACCTCAACAATAAACAACCTCTAAGTGCAGTGTCAGTGCTCCAAAAGCAGACACTGATATGGTATTTTGTGTGGAGAGACAGTTTGAAGTAATTTGTTATTTAATGTTTCAGCCATTACGGATTTTTTTCAACCACCCCTACAGCTCAGCTTGCTAACCCCTGGGGCTAAGAGTACCACAGTTTGAACACTGCTGCCTTAACACATAGAAAAGAGGTTCAAACAATTGAAATGTTGAGATTTTAGGCTTTTGGTATTAAGAAATGAAATTTTGTTGTGATGCAATATTCCATGTTCCAATTCAATTCATTCTTTCAATTCTAAAAATATCATCAGAAAGATCACACACAGAAGGTAAGCCTGGACCATCAATTGGTAATATATATTTGAAATTAGGAAAAAAGTGTTTTAGCTGCACAGAATTAAGATTCTTGTCATAATAAAACAAGGTTCTATAATAGGGCCACGTATGGCTCTGTTTCCTTTATCTTGATTGCCATGTAAGGAGACACTGTGCCACTTCTCATCCTTTCACTGATTATAAGTAAATTGCTTTACTTTTCAATAAGAAATACAAAAATATACGATTTGTCATTATTTTCACAAATTGCCTAAAATCAAAATAAAGCATTACGTATATTTATCCTTGCTAATACAGTACTTTTTAAAATGTTAAAGCTAAATAGAACTTAGATCTCAGTTATTGCATACAGTAACATATCACACAGAATGCATGTAAAGTGCAGAATGCATGTAAAGTCACGTAATATGCAATGGCAGTCAATCTTATTTAGCAATCACTTCAGCAATTAGTGATATGTATTTCAGGTAGATTAAATTAATTTTTAGCAAACATGGCCAAATTTCTCAGTGAGTCTCAATTTATTTAGTGAAAGTACTGTACTAATGTGAAAGTTTATTGAAATAAACTATGCTGTTCTTTGTGTAAATTCCATAGAGTTTCTGAAGAGAGTATTGAACTATCTGAACTTAACTGACCGTCATTACCAACTTTAATAAAAAAACTGCATAAAAGACACATAAGCATAATCTTTTTTCTTTTTTTTCCAGATGCCAAATGGAAAATCTTCAGAGGAGTCTGCTGGGTGGTCATTTTCTTCTCAAGATGAAGGTAATGTTCAGTCTGCTATCTGTAAAATAGAATTGTGATCCTACTTGATTGATACCAGAACCTTCTATGGCTGCTATGTGACTTCTTCTTGCTTGTATGTTGTAAATACATCTCCAGACATTTCTCACAATCTTTGAATTTTCACTCTCATTTTTTTTGTATCACTACTGTTGTTTCTTGAAAGACAACACAAGGAGTTCTTGTTGGTTTCTCACCCCTTTGTTTCTGTGTCTTAGCCATTATAAAATGCAAAAAAACAGTTGAAAATCTGCAGCTGTATATTTCACTTATTGTTCCAAAAATAATGCAGTGTGTTGAACTTAAGAGCTTATGGTTTATGTTCTTTTAATACAAAAGGATGGTGGGGGCCAGGAACAATCTGGTCAGTAATAACGTTGAAGCTGATACTTTCTTTAAGAAACAGCTGAATAAGTTCCCTGGATCAGTGAGCTACGAGTAAACAAATGGGCTGGACAATCTGAATGCCTCCCTCTCATTAGGAACTTTCTTATGTTCATCTTCATAACATACCTCTCAAAGTATCAAAAGAGTTAAACACATCAGTTTTCCTGATGTTGTCTTTGCACTATACTGTATTTTGCTTCTTCAGAATTTCAATTCTCTAATGCAGGAGGCACCCATGAAAATGGTGGAGCAATTAGTTTCCTACTGTAGCATCTGGAGTTGTGTCAACTGTGAATGAAGGACATTTATCTAGTGGTAACTGCTGTGTTTGACTTTTCACATTAACATTTTTCGTATGACAGATTCATGCTAATTTGCCTGTTGCCTGCTGGGATAGGCTCCAGCTCCCTAGCATCTCTGAACTAGATAAAGTGGTTAGAAAATGATAGGATGCATGATTTATGCTAGACAAGAGCTGCAGGCACACCAGCTTCAGCCCACGCCACCAAGTTGATGTCTGAATCTTGAAATCCACTTATTGTAGTGCATTCTAAACTTACACGTTTAAAAACATGTTTTCAGATGGATTGAGGATTGAAATATTAGCTATGACAAGATATCGTCAAATGAGATCTGTAGTTCCAACTACTGCCACAAGTGGGAGCCGCAGCCTCCTTCAAAGTTAATGTACAGTAGTTGTTCTTCAGAAAACTGCATGTGCGGAATTAGGAAATGATAGACTTTGAGACACGGGGTCTCCCTCATTGTTTAGAAAGGAAATAAAAATAATTAGGCACCCCAGGCCAAAATTAAACCAAGAACCAAAGCTCTGTGTGGCAACAGCACAAATGGTAATCCTATCCTGCCTCCTAAAGTGACATATTAGAAGTAATATGTTACAGAAACAGTGCAACTACTGTGTCCTTTCTGGTGAAGGTTTCGATTCCCTTTCCCCAGGAATTGAAAACCCAGCTTTCATGCCAGATGAAGAGCTTCCTGCTCCTCTGAGGACTCCACCCTGGTTGGCCAACGAAGACACCGTCGTGCCCTCACAGAGTGCACGTGTGCATCTTCCCTGGACTCCAAATACCTTCAACCGGCTCGCCCCACTGAGGCTCAGCACCAGATCCACAGATTCATTTTTACTTGCAGGTGTTCCAGCTGCTGATGAGAATCCTCAATAATTCCAACTTGATGTAGAATCAAAAGTACAAATGTCATGTTGTCTACCACCAGGAAAACATGAGTTGGTTCTTCCTTATCAAGCCGTGTGGTAAAAACATCTTCCTCCTAATCTGTGAAACTGACTTTATATTTTTATGTTTTATTCTTTAACATCATTTGCATTTAAGATTTTTTTATTTTCTAGATCTCTAGATAGCAAAGTACATTGTATTATTTTGGTTTTTATAGGTCTTTGTTTGCATTACATGCTGAATTACTTTGCCTTATCAATAATCTTCCTTCACTATGATGTGCAATAATCTCTAAGATATTAAAGAAATATTTTTAAAAATTTAGATGAACAAATCCCTGAAAGGGAATTTCGTTACAAAACTATTATTTTTATGAAAAAGAGCTAAACTGTTGTAGGAAATTAATATTTATATTATGTTCAAAATAAAACATTTTGTACAGACAAAATGGGTAGGTTTATATATTTCTTATATATTAGTTTATCTACCATAGTCTGTGATCCCAAAAGGGTTCCATATTAACTGTAAATCTTGAGAGAGGATAGGCTTAAATGGAAGTAAATTCAAAAGCAATTTGAGCACTAATTATTTGCATGATAATTAGGAAATAATGTTTATTAATCTGTAGAGTATAACAAAAACTGACACAGAAACAACTACAATCCCAAATCTGGCAGCGTGCCACCGTAGTTTTTTTGGCATTTTAAGTGGACTGTCATGTACTTTCAGCCTTCCTCCAGGTTCATAATTCCCATGTGTCAGTCCCGTCTTGAGGAACACAGTACGGACTTTCTTTTGCAGGTCCTTCCTTAACTGTACTCATAAATGTTTATCACAATGCACTGGAATATTCATCTCAATTAACTCTGTCGTCCATTTCTTCATCTTCACCAATGTATTCTACGTTTCCTGCTGATCCTGTTTGGCCAGGGACTCCTCTCAGTAACAAACACCAGGATCCCTGATGCATCAGCAGCCAAGTTTGCCTTTCTCTCACATTTCTCTAAGAGCACCTTCAGTCTGCTGAGTATAAGGTCAAGGGAGCACTCAGGATTCTGTCTCTGCCATTTCTCACCTGGGATGTGGATAGAAGGTATACTGCTACATGCCAGGTACCGCCCCAGTCCTCCAGTGCTAATACCTTAAATCATCCCTGTACCTTAGCAGCTTGGAACATCTTCTTCAGTCCTGGGGAACTGCCACACAGTGCACCTGTCCAGAACTGGAAAAGCCCCTCTTTTGTTGCTTCGTCATTCAGACTAGCTGTGGTTCATTCTGCAGGTTTTCCTCATTTGCAAGTGCATATCCTTACATACTATTCAATTTTAATGCTGTGTAGTTACACAGTTACTACTATAATAATATAATACTATTGTATTTCATGAAATAAAAATGAAGATTAAAATGATCTTGACTATTTAATATTTGCAGTATATTTATGGCATTACTAAACATTTTATAAATTACATTTTTCTCTCTCTTAAATATTTACTCTCCTAGCTCACACAAAAACTCTGAACAACTAATCAATTGAATTTTGTGACAAGAATTGAAAAGTACAAATGTTGTATTGTTATTTCTACCTGGTGTGAGGAGTCTGAAAATGATGATCAGTAAAAATGGTGAATGTCCTGTCGTGAAGTGTTCAGTGAGAGGGTACCGTAAAATATGTCACTCAGATTATGTACTATATACTGATTCATATCAAAACAACACCATTAGCTGAAAAGAGGTCAGGAATTTCTAGGAACAAACCCAAGTTTAGTTGAGATATGCATTAGCAAGAACTCTTAAAGTCTGCCTTTTTGAGAATGAACAGAAAAAATGTTGTTTAGGATCTCTGGTAATTTATAAAACTGAAGAAAACTGATTCTCTTGAATTCTATACCTGTGAGCAAATGAATAAATTAAGTGTGTTATAGCACATGAAGTTGTCTTGTTTTTGTTCTTGAGTGAAGTAAGATATTATTGGCAATATTTGACCAAAACTTCTAGTACTGACCTTGTTTAAATAACCACAGCATAGCCATGTTTGTACAACTCCAAAGCCAGCAGTCATTTGCCTTAAACTGTTCAGGATTTAACCCACTTGCTAGCCATTTAAGTTTTTAAGAACTGGGCCATGCATTGAGATAATGCATGTATTCTAATCTGAGATCTAATCAATGTAAAAAGACTAGTTTACAGTCAAAGTAATCTCCCAGTATTGCACAATACAAGTAGTAGAAGAGTATTGACAGAAGTCTCCAGGTCTTGAACAGTGATGACATGCCATGGGGCCAGTAAGGACAGTATTGGAGCAGTTCAGAAGGTGACCATTATTCAGTCATGATTGCGTGAATTCAAAATGACAATTTGTATTCAGTTCAACCCAAAGAGCTTTTAAGGCTTGTTTACTGTCATTTAAACTGCTGTTATTTGGTGATTATTGTGTCTTATAAATGGAGGACAGCACAGGTGTACAAAACAAAAAAAAAACATAAAATGAAAGGAATATTCCCTGCAGAAAAGATGGAAATTATGACAGAATTGTCTTTTGCAGTGCTGCTTAGATTTATACGTCTGTTCATTTATTCATTGCTCAACCAAAAAATAAATATATGTCAAATCACTTCTCAACGTTTACTTGAACAATTTGATTTCCTGCTTTAACAGATTTTTTAGGGGTAGGGGAGGCTGAATAAAAATAACCTGTTCACAAAATGTGTTACAATCCTTAACTTTTCGGTTATTTTCTATCACAGATAAACGAAAGTGTTAAAAAAACAAAATGGCACCATCTACTGCTATCTTCATAATCGGTATTGGTTAGATGATGAGAGTCATTTTTGAAATCCTTCTGGGATAATATCATGAAGAATAACAGAGTCATTTGTTTTCCATTCTATATCGATTGCTTGAATTAATTCTTGTCTTCGTGACTTACTATTAGGGCAGGCATAGTCTCACAGTGACTAGCATTGCTTCTTCACAGATCTGGGACCCTGCAGTAGGTCCTATTTCTGGGGTGCTCTCTGTTTGGGGTTGGAACTCCCCTGTGACTCTGCATTGGATAAAGTGGTCAGAAAATGAATGGATCAATGATTTAAAAATACTGTGAACATAGTATCTCAGAATCTCAGATTTCCGACTTAGTAAGTCAGAATTCCGACTTAGTATCTCAGAATTGTGACTTAGCAACTCAGAATTCCGACTTAGTATCCCAGAATTGCGACTTAGCAACTCAGAATTCCGACTTAGTATCTTAGAATTGCGACTTAGCAACTCAGAATTCCGACTTAGTATC